ACTGAGTACAATATTGTATAACTGTAATAATTCAACTGTAAACCTAAAAATTTACAGCCAATTTTGAAAGAGATGCATCTTAGCTCAGGAAATTGTTATTGAATATGTCAATGCTGTTGTAATGAAATACTTCTTCCAAGTATGTGGTTATTAAATAATTAAATAAAATAGAACGTTAAAAAAATAGTTTAGATGAGGAAGTGGTTGTGCTTTCAGAGATGTGTTAATATCTAAGGCCAGACTTTGGGTTAGCTTTATTACTTCTGAGGATTCTTAGGCGGGCTAGAAAGATACTCTGAGCAGACAGAAGGGGATGAAAACACTGCAGTCCAGCACTTTCCGAACAGCACCTTCAACTTTAGAACACCAGTACTGCCTCCATCCGCTATCAGCGTAGACCTTGTTCCCACCAGCCCCCGCGCCTCGCTCGTCAAGCAATGCTTTGTTACGTCATCACAGCGCGCGGTCGCGGGGTGTGTCAGAGACCCGCTCACGTGTACTGTGTTGACTGTCAAAGTCTAGACACTCCAGATCCGGAAGCCCCGAGTTCTGAGCGAAGTTGCCACAGTCGAGGCTTGCAGGCCGCGAATCCCGCACCATGAGCGCGGCGGGCGTGCTGTCCTTCACCCAGCAAGGCTGGGAGCAGGTGCTGGCCAAAGCGAAGCGGGCCCTGGTCTACCTGGACGCCTCCTGTGCCGAGAGCCTGCACTGGAGCTGCGGAGCTCCCCGGCTCCTGGAGGCGGTGGGCGGTCCCGCGTGGCACCTGCGGGAATTTGAACCTCTGGCAGTGGGTGGCGGATCGGAGCAGCCCAAGGCAGTGTTCGTGTTGAGCTGCCTCCTGAAAGGCCGTACAGTGGACATTCTACGAGACATCATCCGCCGCAGTCACTTCCAATACTGTGTGGTGGTCACGGCGGTGAGCCACGCAGTCCACCTCACAGCTAACCATGTGCCAGCGGCTGCGGCAGCCGAGTTAGAGGGGCAGCAGCCGGTGTTCGAACAACTGGAGGAGAAGCTATGTGAGTGGATGGGCAACATGAACCACAAAGCCGAGGTGTTGCATGTCCCGTTGTTGCTCGCCCCTGCTGCTCCTCACCTTGCCTTGACTCCAGCCTTTGCTACCCTTTTCCCATTGCTACCCCAGGATGTACATCTCCTTAATAGTGCCAGACCCGACAAGAGGAGACTGATGAGCTTGGGTGAGATGGATGCCAGTGCCTTGACCCCAGAGCTGCTGCTGCAGATCAGGTGCCTGGTGTCAGGCCTCAATTCTCTGTGTGAGCATCTAGGGGTACGGGAGGAGTGTTTCGCTGTGGGTTCCTTCAGTCGGGTCATCGCTGCAGATCTGGCAAATTATGCCCCTGCCAAGAACAGAAGAAAGACTGCCGCAGGCAGGGCGTCCGTGGTCTTTGTGGATAGAACTCTGGATCTCACAGGTAAACCATCTCTTCAGCCCCCAAACTCTACGTTTCTTAAGCATCCTTCTGTTAGTAGGTTGACTTGCAAGGTGGTCCTGTAAGCTGGTTGAAGTAGGCAGAGTATGGGGTGAGAACATTTTAAAAGTCTGAGCACATTGCTGGACTGGAGAGATGGTTCAGTGGTTAAGAGCACTGGCTGCTCTTCCAGAGCACCTGGGTTGGGTTCCCAACACCCACATGGCAGATAACAACCATCTGTAACTCCAGTTCCAGGGGATCTGACACCCTCTTCAGACCTCTACAGGCATTGCATGACTCGGGTACACTTACTCACATGCAGGCAAACCTCTCATACACATATAATAAAAAAATAAAAGAGAGAACCTAAGCACATTGTTCAAAGATAGCAAATAGGTTTCCTTGTGTAGATTCAAGGCAACAAATTAAAAGAGTAAAATTGAGTCCTTCTGTCAAAGTCCTATAGGAAGCCATGAAAATACGCATCTCAATAGAAAGCCGAGACAGTAATTTGTGTTAGTAAAGTGATAACAGCCTTCAAAATTTACTGAACTATTTCTCAAGTACATTAAACTTGTAAGGGCTCTGCTTCCTCCTTACCGTCTTGAATAATTAAGTGAAAACTATTTTAGTGGAGCTGAGCAAGGTCAGTGTCCTGAGGAGAGAAGGCTCAGGCCAGAGTGCAGGGAGTCAGCATAACTGTGTGTGTGTGTGTGTGTGTGTGTGTGTGTGTGTGTGTGTGTGTGTTGTAGAGTGCCGTCCTCCAAGTATAACACCCATAATTTTCATCAGAGCAGGTGTTAGTTGCAAGAGACCCCTGTGATTGAGGCTGTTTACTGTTGATGTTCCTTCGTAGAAGGAGGGAGTGCGAAGATTCTGTTTCCTCTTGCACTTCCTGGCCAGTTGAATGTAATTCTGGCCTAAGTGCACATGGCCTCATGATCTTGGGAAGAGTATATAGAATGTGGAAGGTTACTGAAGTGAGGGAGCACTCCATCTTTGTAGCTATGGAAAAGTCATCCATGCCACAGTGAGACTTTTTGATGGTGTGGTTTTCTGGGGGTCACTCATACTTGGTAAGTAAGGCCAACAAACTCATTAGTTCTCTAAGCTGGACTTTAGTGGACTCATACTCTGGTTTGTCGTTGATGCTTTATAAGGAGGGAATAGGGGGCTGGAGAGATGGCATGCTCAGAACTGATTGTTCTTGCAGAAGACCTGGGTTCGAATCCAAGCACCCACATGGCAGCTAACAGCTGTCCGTAACTCCAGTTCCAGGGGACCTGATGGCCTCTTCTGTCCTCTGTGGGCACTGCACCACACAGGTGCACTTACCTACATGCAGGCAATACACGCATACACATAAAATAAAAAAATAATAAAATAAGATATTTAAAAAATATGGAGGGAATTGATGTTTGTTTACGTCTCCCCAAAGAAATAGTTACTGCAACAGAGGGTGTCTCCTGAGTGGGGGTGAGGTCACCTGTGTGTGATGGTAGGTGTCCATAGCACTGGCCTGGTGAGATGATGAAGCTTGAATAGGATAAGTATTGTTTCCTAAGGCCTCATGTGTTTTCCTGTTCTCTGGTATGTAGAACCCTTATTCCTATCTGAAACCAATCACCTTTTTTGGTATAATATAAGCCAGTAAATTTCATAACGTCTTTCCAACTTCATGGTGGCTTTTAAAACGTTTATTTATTTATTCATTCATTCATTGTGAAGAGGTCACTATCCATATGTTGGTGATCAGAGGACAGGTTGTGCAAGTCAGTTTTCTACTTAAACCAGGTGGTGTCTGGGATCCAATTCAGATCATCAGACTTGTGGCAAGCACCTTTACTTCCTGAGCTATCTTGCCAGCCCATCTCTTTCCCATTTTAAATGTGATTTTCTCTCTTTAGAAAAGTTTTAGTAGACTTTGGAGGATAGATTCTAATTTAGATTGGTTTATAAATGCAGTTTTTTTTTTTTTGGTTTGTTTTTGAGACAGGGTCTCCCTTTAGCCCCAGCTGGCCTGTAATTTGCTTTGTAAACTAGGCTGGCCTTCAACTTACAGAGATCCACTTGGCCTCTCCCTCCTGAGTGCTGGGATTAAAGGTAATCATCCATTATCTTGCACGTGATCAGATTAAAATTTCATTTGATACAAAGCGTTTGAACATGGTGTTAGAATTGTACATTAGTAATATAGAGAGCTGATTTTCAGTTATGAATACTGGTACGTTGTTTAAATGTTAAAATACTCCCCACTACAGAGTAAAAAGAAAGCTCTACTTGCAGAGACCATAAGTCACTTAATACTGTTCCTGAATGGGGAGTGAGTGATAGCCTAGGAATGTGCTAGTATAGATGCACTGGCCCTGGAGAGAGTACTGAGGCAGGGAGGGTAGGGCGTGGTAGTGGTTGTGGAATGCAGCATCTGCCCATTGTTTCTGGGTGGCTCCAGATTGAATGGTGCTGTAGGATAGGTGATATTGATGACATTGTTGGCATGGGTCTTCTTGGTATTTGGCCTAGGCCCTGGCATCCAGGAGCATACTTGGTTACAGTGCTCAAATTTTTTAACTGACTCATCTTCTGGATATATCAAACTTGGGCAACCCCAGAGGTCATGAATGTTGATGTAATGGAGTAGTAGATACCAGAGTTGGTGAGGCTTCCTGTATCAAATTGTGGCTTACATTGGGCTTTAGTTAGTGACGGCTGCAGCAAACAAAAGATTGTGCTAACAACTTCTAAAATTTAAGAAGTTATTTGGAAATCATTGGAATGACTTGAGTGATTTTTTTAAGAAAGATTTTATTTAGGGGGCTGGAGAAATGGCTCAGTCAGTGGTTGTCACTGAGAAGTAAATGGCTACTGACTTGTCTGTTTCTCTAACTTACTTAGACTATGCCTGGATTTCCCAGAACCTAGGACATTTGCATAGAGGATTTAAATGTAGCATTCTGTGGCCTGCTCTGGCTTCTGATTTGTTTCCAGGGACAGTTATAAAAACAGAAGTGATTCACGAATCCTTAAAAGTTTGAGTTTACTTAAAAAGCAGACTCTTACCTGTTATTTTCAGGGTCTTGAGATTGACTAGAGTACTTTGCTAATAGTCTTCAAGTTAAAATCTAAACATAAGAGGTGGTAGTAATTCTAGGAACTAAACTTCTCTTACTCCAACTCTTCTGAATTTTGGCTTCAAATAAACTTAAATTTGTTCAATTGAAGATTAACTCACAATATAGTGGATGGTTCTTAATCCTGGGATTGTAATAACCTGAAGTATTTATATTTGCTTTAAGTTGTGTTTGTACATTCACTTGGTAAAGTATTGAAATTTCAGACTTAATGGCTAACATCTGAGAGTATACTGTATTTAAAAATAAAAATGGGTGGTGGTGGAGCAATGAACATGGGCGATTCCTATGGTTCAGGAGGCCAGAAATTTCCCCCTCTAGGTGGAGGTGGTGGCATAGGTTATGAAGCTAATCCTGGAGTTCCACCAGCAACCATGAGTGGTTCCATGATGGGAAGCGACATGCGTACTGAGCGCTTTGGGCAGGGAGGTGAGGGTCCTGTGGGTGGACAGGGTCCTAGAGGAATGGGGTCTGGAACTCCAGCAGGATATGGTAGAGGGAGAGAAGAGTATGAAGGTCCAGACAAGAAGCCCCGATTTTAAATCCCATACCCAGGCTTTCATTCCAGTTTGTTTTTGTCTTTTCTTGTTTAGATACCACTTTTAAATCCTTGCATTTTAGTAAGAAAGCTACCTTTTTATGGATGTTAGCAGTTTATTGACCTGATATTTGTAAATGGTCTGTTTGGGCAGGTAAAATTATGTAATGTGGTGTTCAAAACAGGAGGAAAATATTTTTTTCTTTTTATTTACTTTTTTTTAACTGTATAATGTTCCTCAAGTTAATGGCAGTATACCTGTGCCACTGAATTTCCAAAGTGTACCAATTTTTTTTACTGTGCTTTGAATAAATAGTAAAATAGTTGAAATACTGAAAAAATTTATTTATTATTTTAATTTTCTATGTATGAGTGTATTGCCTATATGTGTGTAAGTGTACCTGTGTCATGCAGTGCCCACAGAGGACAGAAGAGGGTGTCAGATCCCCTGGAACTAAGTTATAGATGGTTGTTAGCTGCCATGGGGGTGCTGGGATTTGAACCTGAGTCCTCTGCAAGAACAATTTGTGCTGTTTAACCATCTCCCCATCCCCATATAGTGTATTTTTAGCACCCTGTATATATAAACCTCTGTAGTTTTTTTTTTTTTCAGTAGTTCTTTGAAGCATTAAAACCTGTCCACATCTTACAGATGAGAAGAATGAAACAGAGGAAATAAGTAAGTTGTATAAGGTCACACAGCTAGCAAATGGTTGAACGTAAGATTTGGGCCTGTGCCTATGACCATTCACATGTAAGGCTGCAGAAAGAGTTTGAAAAGGCTAGTCGTGGGTAGTGGTGAGAATTGTAGCTAGAAGTTGGCAGCTTCAAAGATTAATACGGTATTGATTCCAGTGCTGTTTTGTTGCTTAGAAAAGCATGTCAAGGTACTAGATGCTTTATGATACTGACATTAACATATGCATTCTAACAGGGTTATACAAGGTTGGTATTTTTCTAGTGCTGTTAATTTAGAAAGTTTAACTATTGGAGCATTAGTTTAACGTAGAACTTGAAATCCTTAGGTTCAAAGGTACTTTGGTGTCAGACCAACTCTGAGTTTCAGGCTGGTAAAATAATACCACATTTCTGGAATTTGCTTCAGATCATATGATAAATTAGTAGAAGAAGGACTCATCTGAGCCTGAATATCTATTTTTTCTCCTTTACTTCCTTGGGAAGAAAATGAAATGGAGATTCGAAATCTTCTTTGTATAGATAAGGGAAACATTGCTGTTGGCCAGATTAAAAGTTGGACAGGACGGAAGTAACTGGGTCCCGGCTGATTTCTACTCCTCAGTGTCTTAAATAATATTTTAGAATTTCTAGAATAAAGAGTCCAAAAATGTAAGTATAATAGAAATCTTGACTTTGTATTAATTTTATAGGAGAATCTGAAGTTACTGTGACATTGATAAATCCCAAATGCTTAGTCTATATTTGAGTCATGCTATAGCTCCAATTAAAAAGTTTTAAAAGTTTACTGAATTCTCTAAAGTTGGACATGTGAGAATCTGTATTCACAGAAGAGTTATTGAGTAGCTATCATGTGAAGTTGACATTGTTACTCTCCTGATGTAATATTTTAAAGAATTTCACAACTGCCCCTCCCCCATCCTAGGAGCTCTTCTTCTTACTATTCATTCAATGAAGCAGCCCCTAGTCTGAGTATCGTGAGACAGCCATAAACCACAAACAACATAAATAAGACCTGGTTCCCTGCTTTAATGGAGGAATCTTCTACTGCTACAAGAATTCTATTCTTGGGGCTGGAGAGATGGCTCAGTGGTTAAGAACACTGAATGTTCTTGCAGAAAACCCAGGTTCGAATCCCAGCACCCACATGGCAACTAGCTACTGTCCGTAACTCCAGTTCCAGGGGTTCTGATGCCCTCTTCTGACCTCTTTGGGCATTGAACGACTCAGGTGCACCTACCTACATTCAAGCAATATGCTCATAAACAGAAAATAAAAAAAAATGTATATGACATGGCAAAAAACAGAGTGGCATTAGGATGCAACATATTAGTTGACTGGAAGTGATTCAGACTTACAGCTGTGCCCAGTCCCATCCATTGCTGGAATAATGTTTTCCAAGCAGTCATGAGTGATAGATAACTTAGTTTCCAGAAAAAGTATTGGACTGTTAAAATTCATTGGTCTTGAATTTTGATTAGGATTTGTTTGGTATTATAATTAAAATATTATTGTTAGATAGGGTCTCACTCACATAGCCCAGACTGACCTCAAAGTCTCTAAGTGCTAAGATTCCAGGCATAGGCTACTGCTCTTGGTTTTATGTGGTTCTGGGGATCAAGCCCAAGGCTGCATTCATAAGCCAGCATTCTACCAATTAAGCTATGTTCTTAGCTCATCCTCCAACCATTACTGCTAGAGCTGATACATAGAAAGCTTGATACCTATAAAGCTCCTTGAGTAGTGCTTGGCATACAGAATACACTTAGTAAGTGTTGATAAGTGTTGCTTCTATTGTAGGCTTTTACCATTTGTTCACTTATTCACAAGTATTTAGTGAGAGCTTGCTAGTTGCCACTTTTTATGCTAGATCTGGTGGGTAACAGGTCAACTAGATAAAGGGCACCATTGTCATTATGGAGATTATGGTTGTAGTGGCAGGTAAATCTGCTAGTCTTACTTAGTCCCTAAGCTTTTCCTGGTCATAGTGTGTTATCAAAGTAAAAATAGAATTAACTTTAAAATTCCAGGAGAGCATCATCCTATGACACTATTTGACTGATTGACTATATGCTGGTAATTTATTTAGCAAATAGTTGTTGATGCTGTATTTGTAGGCACTGTGTTAAGTGCTGGAGATACAGCAGTAACCAGAGCAGACTAGAAGCCTGTCTTCATGGAACATTAAGTTTAGTCCATGAGGTACACATTAGTGGAGTAATTGTAAATGTGATTAGTGTCATAAACAGCAAAATTCTAAGTTTGTGTTACTGATTTGCACAACAGAAACTAAAAAAATGCCTGTTATTTTTGGTAGATGGGGCATTATAAAGCATTTATCTAGTTAACTTCTCTTTGTTTTTGAGTTTACATTTGCATGTTTGGTTAAACAGGAGCTGTGGGACATCATGGAGACAACTTGGTAGAGAAAATGATTTCAGTGCTTCCACAGCTTCCAGGGCACACAAATGATGTGATGGTTAACATGGTGGAGCTTACCGCACTCCAGGCCGTGGAAGAAAATGAAAATGTGATTGCACCAGGCTGTCTTGCACAATCCAAGTAAGACTTAATTTCTTCTTTTCCCTTTTCTTATCCTAGTAGAAAAGAAATGAGCCTGTGATCCCAGCACATGGGACATGAGGACAGGAGAATCAGGAGTTCAAGGTCTGTCTTGGTTAGTTTATAGTTCATGGTCAGCCTAGTCTTTGTGAGGTCCTGTCTTAAAAAGAAATAAGGCAACAGTGAAACATTGCTTGTAACATTACATTTAGAAAAGAACACTTTTAAATTTAGAAATAATCATATCCACTAACCATAATAAACCAAAGAATATGGAATTTTATGAGTGCCAATTAGATGTAATTTAAGCCTTTTCCCAGGATCAGAGAAGTGAATCAGTTTATGTATCTCCATTTCATAGATAGTTTTCACACAGAATTAAGTCTGTGGTTCCTGAATTTCTTTTTCCTAGCTGGCTTTCTCAGATGACTAAACCTAACCCACATAATTTGAGCCAGTACCATCTTTACATATATATGTAAATAGTATGGTCTTGGGCATCAATGGGAGAAGTGTATGTTTCTTAAGTTTTATCATATACTTAGAGAAACCAAACAACAAACATGGTGTACTTTATGTCATGTAATGTGTCAAAAACAAAAGAGCTTTTCTCTAGAAATGACAAAAAAAGATATGTAGTTACCTTTTCTTTCTTTTTTAACTTTTCTTAAATCATGCTTCATTAAAAGTAGTACAAAATATCTTGGAATTCAAAGGTTATCTGTTGTAATGTTTATCCTGTAATAGGTTAGTTCTATAGAAAAATTAGCTTAAAGGAGACAGAATCACAAATTCAACGTGATGCAGACTCATGCTCTGAGGCCTCAGTGTGCTCCAAGTTTTCAGTCATTAACAGCCCAAATTGGTTGCTTCCCTCATACCAGTGTCTGGTGTCTGAAGTAGTTCCCACTCTGTTCTTTGACCATCTGGTAATCTTCTTCTGACCCCCCTTTTTTGAATTTGATTTACCCTTTCGTAGAAATAATTCAGCTGGGGCATATGACCTTGTGGCATTGAATAGATGTTCATAAAGTTGCTTCACCTCAGGGCACATGCTCAGAAGGCTTTCCACAGAGGTTGATGCTAGTGACTGGCATAGTCCATGCACCAGGCTTCCACTGTACAATCGAGTTAGGTCTGGCTCTGGGAGAGGCGTGGGCAGCAGCTGGTTGAGATATATCCCCATCTAAAGACAGCACTGCCACTGACAGAAGACGTGAACTGTGTCTAAATCTAATCTGGCACTGGGCCGCGCTGACTTCACCTTTTGGAACTCTTCATACAACATCTTAGCACCTGCCCGTGGGTCTTCCTTACCAGGACTGTTGATGATGGCATGCAAGGGCTCCATCAGCATTCCCAGCAGCAAGGCCTGTAGATGATATAGCTTTGCCTTGGCCTCCGTGTGCTGTAACCAGTAGCAACTGACGGCAATGGGCAACTTCAGAAAAGTAGGGATGGACTTCAGAACAACCTGTTTCACCTTCAAGTCTTCTAATGGAAGTGTCTGCTGCCGAGCCAAGGAGAGCTTAGTCAGTCTGCTCAAGTCAGAATGATCCTTGGGCAGTTGTACTGCGTAAACAATTGATGTTTTGATATTTTTATTAATTATTTCCACTTCATTGAAAGCTAGAGGCTGAAAAGGCAATGCATTCTGGGATATGTCTTCTGGATGTGATGAATTCAAAAGAAGCCGGTAGATGATTTGTGGGATGGGCTGAGATATTCTGTGAGCATTTGGTTGCTGCATATTTTCTACCTATGTGTGAAGAATGGTCCTTCTGAGTACCAGAGCATCACTGATGAAAGGAGATAGTTGGCCTTTAGCTGAAGACACTAGTACTCATTCTGGTAAACCCAGATTCAAAGCATCTGGACAGATGTAAGTGCCAGACTGGAAGAAGTCCTGAAGCTTCATGGAGGACTGCTGGTACTCCTCCATAGCCCAGCAGAGGAGTTCCTTAACATTCTTTCATTTCTTTTTGGGGAGATACTTCAGAACATTATCTAGTGCTTCAGTAGGGTCATCAAAATTAGATATCCAGTTCAGAAGTCCCATAACTCGGTGGCGTCTCCTCCCCTTAGAACCAAGAGGAAGATGTACTTAAGAATGTCTCCATGATGGGCAGATTAACACGGTCATTTCCACATAGCACTGCAAAGAGAGGTAACAGAGCTTTGTTCATGTTGCTGAAGTGATGGCAGAACGGATCAATGGAAAAACACTTGGCAGGAATATAGTAATTTAATGTATCCTTAACAGTGTTTAGATTTCTCCACTGAAAGGTATTCAGTGGGCAAAATACACTTTTCAGGTCAAAAATGCAAAAGTCACTATCTGATGACAGCACAGGGCAATTCCAATGATTGGCAAGAGTCATAATGTCCTGATCTGCTTTTGAAAAGCACTGGACCTGCAGCTTGACCAAAGCCTGTATGAACACTTCCTGGATAAGTAAGGGACATGCATTCCCACCTCCTCCAGCAGCAAGGGAATGTGCTGCCTGGATCTTCTCTATAGCTTGATCCTTTAAAGTGGTAAGCTTTTTATCTGAAATGTCACATCCTTTATCTAATACCACATATGGACAGATATTACATGCAAACAATGATTCAAAGAATTTCTGTACAACATCTGCAAATGAATCATAGTTCCCTCCATTCCCGAGCTCCAAGTCTGAGTCGAAGCAAAGACACTGGAAAAGAGCATAGCCATCAATTATAATGTCTGTGTCCTGCAACTTTGAATCAGTGAAAAACTCATTACTGTGATCTTCCATGAAACTCATTAGTCCTAGGATACCCATGATGATTGACAATCAGAACTACCTCAGACCCTGCTGTCAGCATATCAACAGCTTCATTCTGAAGGGTAGTAATTTCTTTACAGGTCTGTCTTGGAAAGTTTCTGCAAACCCTTGGACTGTCATCTAATTATTGGACTTTTCATAGAGTAGCTCAACAAATGCAAGCTAAAAGGTATGCACGATCTAATCCTCAAACACTGGCCTCCCACTTCAGGCCACCAGAGCTCTCACAGCCTACCATCCCAACCAGCAGCAGGGCCCACCTGCTCATCCTCCCAGCTGATCACTTTCCATCAGAAGAGAAGCCAGTGGGAGCTCAGCAAGAAGGGGCCGCCCTGCAGGAGAGCGGGAGCTCCAGGTGCCATGGTGTGACTTCACTGGGGGCTGGGGTCCGCGAAGCAAGCTGGTCTCAGGGGAAAGTGTTGGGGCCCGGCATCGGAGCTCCCTGAAGAAGGCCAAGCCATTCCAGCAAGGTTGTTGCCTAGTCAAGGAAAGCTCCGCCCGGCCGAGCCCGCCCGGCCGCTCTCCACTCGGCCTCTTGAGATTGCCGTGTAGTTACCTTTTCAACGATCTCCTTCACAGTACTTATGAGAATTATTCTATTTTTATTTTAAAAAATTATTTATTATTTTTCTTTTATGTATATGAATGTATTGCATGCATGTGTGCAGGTGCACCCATGTCATACAATGCCCGTGGAGGTCAGAAGGAGGTGTCGTCGAATCTGCTGGAACTGGAACTATGAACAGTTGTTAGCTTCTGGGAATCGAACTTGGGTCCTCTGCAAGAGCAGTCAGTGCTCTTAACCACTGAGCCATCTCTCCAGCCCTGAAAATTATTCTTATTGTTTTTAAAAAAATGTATTAGAAGGGGGAAAAGTTGTCCAAGAATATTTATTTTCCTTATCTAGTTTGTATTTTTAAACAAAACAGCAGTTTTGGCATTAGGGTTTCAAATCTACAGTAATAAATACATTTGGAATTTCCTATCATATTTGGAATTCATTTGTAGCTTCTGAAGTTTCAACTTTTTTCTTGATAAATTAATAACATTTATTGGGTGCCCAATGTGGGAAGATAATGACTAGCTCTAGACTTTTTGTCCTTTCTATTCTGTTTTTTTTTTTTTCTCTTTTTGAGACAGGGTCACCTTGTAGCCCCAGCTGGCCTGGAACTCACAGAGGCCTGCCTTCCTCTCCCTTTGGAGGGCTGGGATTAAAGGCATGGGCCACCATGCCAGACCTCATGCTCTCTATTCTTTTTTTTAAAAAATACTTTTATTTATTATTTTTATTTTATGCATATGCATGTATTGCCTGCATGTGTGTAAATGCACCTGTGTTGTGCAGTGCCCATGGAGGACAGAAGAGGGTGTCCCCTGGAACTGGAGTTACGAACAGTTGTTAGCTGCCATGTGGGTAGTGGGATTCGAACCCCAGTCTTCTGCAAGAACAGCTAGTGTTCTTAACTGATGAGCCATCTCTCCAGCCCCATCCTCTCTATTCTTATATGAACAATGAACACAAGGTTCAAGAACCTGCAGGTATATCCAAAGTCACTGTGATTGAAAACCCTTTAGTGTTCAGAGGGTCACTCAGAAGTTAACTATTAAAGATGTGCTGTGAGTCTTACTTTTTTTAGGTTAAGTAATATGAGGACATAAAAGAAGACTGAGCATCATTCTTGACTCCAAGAAACACTTTTTTTTTCTTTTTTTGTGGTGGTTTCTTGAGTTACACTCAGGCACAACAAGAAAAGCAGAAATGGCACGAAGTACTAAAGATGATCATTCTTACAAGTAAAGTGTCAGATTGAGGCACTCAAATTGGTCTCATGGAAGTAGTGGCCCTTGAGTTGATTTTGTCTTGAAGAATTTGGAAATGAGGACCACATGAAAAAGGTGTAGAAACAAGAGGGTTCTGGCCTGCTGTGATGATTGTGAAGAAGATAGACAGCCTTATAGGGCAATTACTGCCATCAGTTCTGTTAATACTTTCCATAAAGTACTATGTGTAGGGCCATTTCCAGGCACCTCATATTTGTAGAGTTATTTTAAGTTTTAGGGTCACTCAATGAGGTAGACACTCCTCCATTTCTCAGGTAAGGAAACTGAGGCCATGAAACCTACATACCATAAGGTGGACATGAGCTCAGAATGTCTGACCTCAGAGCTGTCATCTTCCTTTCTGTGCTG